GCACCTATTTCCATTCAGTCTTCCTGTGATAAGGATCGAGTGTTTCCACTTCTTTTATCAGTTTCCATAAGCAGCAAACGCTGCCTCCATACCACCCTCCTCCTTCTATTCTGTGCCACATCCTCAAAATGCTTTGACAGTAAACATCCAAAAGATTTTGGCTCAGATAGCACTGGAACCACCTGGTGATAGCAGGCACTCTGAGAGCAGCAGGCTGGGGAAGGGAGCAAGATGGGTAAGAAAGAAGGCAAGAACATTCAGGTCCTATTCTGCCTTCCAGTCTCTTTTTTGTATTACGAGTTTGTCTCAGCTGGATTTGCCCCATTAAACCCTTCTATCCAGTTAATGACCCATTCAGCCAACCTTTCTACTCATAGGCACCACAAAATGTTGGTACTTTCCTCTTCTAACCTAAACTGAGAGAACAGGATGTCCAAATGTGTCAGCTAGCAAAGCCCTGTGGATGCAATGCTTGGCATTTGGGATGCCAGAGTATTTCTTGCACGGAGTATGTGGACTGTGCCATGGGCAGGAAAGCCCCGGCAGGATGAAAGGGAGAGAAATGCAACAATTGCCAAGTAGTATAATTCAAAAGAACCTAAAAGAAAACATGCAGAAGGAAGCAAATAAACTTTGAATTATGTGAGTTGAAAGCTGAGTGTGCTGGAGTGAAGGGAAACTGTACTCTCAGTGCATGCCCTTTATCATCTGTGTGCCCAGCTTCTTCAACATGCATAAATGTGAAATCTACTGAGAAAATAAAGCAAACATCTTTTTACTTGAACTGCTTGATTTTGAAATGTACTTTTAATCTCTCTACATTGAAGAAGTACTATATATTATATTTCAGCTCAGAAGGCTGTTAAGGATTTTGCAGTACAACTGAAGGCTACTGTAGAAATTTCAAACTACATGTTATCTAAAGTAATAAGCACTCCTTTCTACTACTTTGTCAGAACACTTCAGGAGGTGTTCAGATTGCCTAAATTCCAGAGATATTTACATTTCTTATTGGCCTAATCCAGACCTTTAAAGGCAGCTTGTAAATACTTGGTTTGTTGTCACAGGTGGAATCAAGACCATCTGCATGAGGTACTTATAATAGCAACAGCATGATTCAAAGGAAGATGCATATTATGAAGAAACTTGTGTCAGCCCAAGTCCAGGGAGTACTTTGTTCTGTATGTGGCGTAGCCATTTCAATAACTCTCATAGTGTAATAATTTTTAAATGGATGACTGAGGACACCTAATACCTGCTCACTGACTAGTAGTAGGAAGGAGTAAATCAAAGGGAGGGGGTCACCTTTGAAATGCAAAGACTTGTATGTAATGCAGCAGTTCCCTCCCGGAACCACCAGTGCTACGCACAAAGCAGAGGTCACAATTGCCTTCCCATCCCTGTCACACACATTACAAGCCAGGAGGATATGTCTTGGGGCCTCATCTCTTTCCTTCAGCATGAGTGGTGCTATGAAGATCAGCCTTCCATGTGTCTGGCCATCACCTTTGCTTTGTCACTGTGTCTACTGCCTTCCCCACAGGCTGTACTCCTTGTGCCACATCAGTTAGGTCATGCAGTATTATTCGTACACTTCCATGTGAAGAAATGGCATCGTCTGAAGCCTGAGATAGCGTTTGCACGATCCTCCAGTCGGACAGACAGCCTTGCATAGAAGCCACTGCTTACCTTTATATTTGAAATGTACCGTCTTTACAAAATACAGTCTACTGGTCAGGAGATCAGCAGATCAAATTGTTTCACTGGCAATAAAGAAATCCAAACAAAAACTAACAATCCAGCCAGGCTGTTCAGAAACCCATGGCAGATATCATTGGAGCTCAGAAAATAGCAGTGTTGCAAACACTGTGTATACAAAAGTTTAAGAATATTTTCCATGACCCATGAAGAGATCATGATACACTTGCATTGCTATTGTGACTACATGGCAGCCACAGGTGTGTGCCTCGAAGTTGCAGTCTACTTCTCAAAGAGAGGTAGTGGTATCTCAGTCTGAATTTCTATGTTGCATGGTAAGAGT